AAAAAAAAAAAAAAAAGCAAATGAAAACGGAAAACAAACTGTGCAATGAGACGAACCCAATTAAATAGTCCGCAGGAGAAGTGTGTGTCAAGCTTCATTATCCAACACATTTGGTACTTGTCAAGTGAGCCCATTAAAAATTTAAAAGGCAAGAGTGTGTTGGGCAACATTATAAACCCAATTGATAAAAATCTGGTAAGATCACACTTGTCCTTTGATAATAAAAGTTTTTTTTTTTTTTTTTTTTCTCTAACTACGATCATTACTTTTCCACCATTGTTGACAGATAAAAAAACCCCAACCTGAATATTGATTCATCTAGCCCAAAATTAAATGGGACTACATAAAAAATTACATGGGACTATGTACAATTTTTTTTAAAAAAACAAGTGTTAGCAATTTTTTTTTTTTTTTTTGGGACATGGGGTTGGAGCCCACCCTAGCCCAAGGGTGGCTCTGCCCCTGAACTCAACATTCGCTTCTGTTTCCTAATAAAGTTTGAGCCCAAGCCTCAGTTTTTGGACTGCAACCCTGCACCTCTAACATTTCGTGCGACACTCTTTCATCCAAATTGATGTCCTTCAGTTTATAGCAGTGCCTAAGAATAAGGCACTCGAGTGCCGGGAGGCATCCATACCGATCGGCTACCAAGCACTTGATATCCAAGTCCTCCAGCAGCAAAAATCTTAGCCTTGAGAACTCTGACTCGTTTAAGACGCACACAGATGGGATACCCATCGTTCAGATTTAGGCAGTCGGACCTACTGTTTGATGCCTCTACTTCCTCGTGATGCTGACTCTTCGCCTGGACTCTTTCAGGGCCAAGATCAAACTTTTATGATTATTTGCTGCTGTTGTCTTTTTATTTTTTTCTTTTTTTTTTTCTCGTTTATTTGGACTGTTATTTATTGGACATCAGACTGTAGATTTGTGACTTTTCAGCCTATTTAGGGCCTTTTTTATATACAGGTTGAGGGTTCGACTTTAACTCCTCACCCTCTCGGGGTGTTGTTATCCTTAAAAAAAAAAAGACGCGCACATGGCCACAAAAAGCTAGCATCACGTGGCAAAACTCATGGTCACCACAACAACGCAAATGCACCGATAGACAACATGAACCCGACAGGTCTTGGTCCCACCAATCAATCTCCAGTCCCGAACCAACACGAGGCTCTTTGCAACAAGCTGGTTCAGATAGCTGTCGATTGTTGCCTCCAATCTGCGGCAACTCGACCTCCCATTAGCAATGAATTCCTCAGCAATCCAGGCTTGGATGATTTTAGACGTGCGAATCTCTGTACCTTTCGAGATTAGTCCCATATACAGAAAGCAATGTTTGAGATGTGTAGGCAGACACTGGTAACTCGGACTCAGAGCGACCGAAAGGCCCTTGTTGTTAAACAAGTTGTCGCTCTCTTCAAGCGCCCGACATCTCTCGGCCGTCCTTTTCTCCCATGCAGGAGCTTCCCGACATGGAGGATCACAAGCGGAAGCCCTTCACAGCCGCTCGCGATCATCCTCCTGACCCTCTTGAGCTCGTAAGGGAAGTCGTGTAGCACCAAACACCGCCCAGCGGAGTAGCTACCAGTTGCGTCCTCGTCTAGAAACGCATCCCTAAGCACGTGATGGGGCAAAGTATAAGAAAAAATTGGTTTTATACCGATTTAACGATTCTATTTTTCATAAGTAAAAGACTTAGGAAATTCTCAAAACATTTGAAAGGTTATATGTTAATTAATTGAGATTAATTAACTCAAAGGTTGTAGGGTTCACAAACATTCAACATTCTGTTTTAACAAATGTTTGGACAAACTAAACGAGCCATAATCATGCATTATGTATGCTATAATTGTAGAAGGGCTCGTTGGGGACAAGTAGGAAAAAATGGAATTCAATTCCGAGTCCGTATGAGCACGTACGAGCCCGCGGGGCACGGGCGCGCAACTGGCTGCGAATGTCGAAGGGTCGCAACCCTTGGTGACTATAAGGTGTCTTTTGACCACTAGATGCATCCGTTCTCATTAGGACACATCCCAAAAGGTGTCTTCTGACACTTAAACCTCTTGGAGGTGTTTCCCTAGATCTATAAATACCCACAAACATGAAATCGTTCAACACATAAAATTTTCAAGATCTCTTTGCATTCTTTTACAAATTTCATAATCATCTTGTGTTCTTTTCTATGTTGAGAGTTCCAAAACATAAGTATTGTTGGCCGAAGGTTGTATATTTGAGTTACCGCTATACACAAATCATAAGTCGTTGTATCTTGGAGGCGTTAGCCATGAACTATGGGTAATATACAAGGCTATTTCGTCTTAAGGAGAGCGTATCTTACGTGTCTCGACTTTATTCATTTTACCATTTTTCTTCTGATTTCTTAAGCCATTTTCTTGAAATTCACATACCAAATATAAACTACACAAAGCACGTAGAGCGCCCACAAGATCTGCATTCTATGTGGTCATAAGGACTCGACTCTCGTTGCCTTCGTCTATCAGCGCCTTT